GCCCTCCCACAGTCTCGGTCCTGACTCAGTCTCGCCCTCCCTCGGTCTCGTTCTTGACTCGGTCTCGGTCTTGACTCGGTCTCGGTCTTGACTCGGTCTCACCCTCCCTCGGTCTCGCCCTCCCTCAGTCTCGGTCCTGACTCTGTCTCGCCCTCCCTCGGTCTCGGTCTTGACTCGGTCTCACCCTCCCTTGGTCTCGGTCCTGACTCAGTATCGCCCTCCCTCGGTCTTGGTCCTGACTCGGTCTCACCCTCCCTTGGTCTCGCCCTCGCTGGGTCTCGGTCTTGACTCGGTCTCGCCCTCCCTCGGTCTCGCCCTCCCTCGGTCTCGGTCTTGACTCGGTCTCGCCCTCCCTCGGTCTCGCCCTCGCTGGGTCTCGGTCTTGACTCGGCCTCGCCCTCGCTCGGTCTCGGTCCTGACTCGGTCTCACCCTCCCTTGGTCTTGGTCCTGACTCGGTCTCGCCCTCCCTCAATCTCGCCCTCCCTCGGTCTCGGTCTTGACTCGGTCTCGCCCTCTCTCGGTCTCGCCCTCCCTCGGTCTCGGTCTTGACTCGGTCTCGCCCTCCCTCGGTCTCGGTCCTGACTCGGTCTCACCCTCCCTCGGTCTCGGTCTTGACTCTGTCTCGCCCTCTCTCGGTCTCGCCCTCCCTCGGTCTCGGTCTTGACTCTGTCTCACCCTCTCTCGGTCTCGCCCTCCCTCGGTCTCGGTCCTGACTCGGTCTCGCCCTCCCTCGGTCTCGGTCTTGACTCGGTCTCGCCCTCTCTCGGTCTCGCCCTCCCTCGGTCTCGGTCTTGACTCGGTCTCGCTCTCCCTCGGTCTCGGTCCTGACTCGGTCTCGCCCTCCCTCGGTCTCGGTCTTGACTCTGTCTCGCCCTCTCTCGGTCTCGCCCTCCCTCGGTCTCGGTCTTGACTCTGTCTCGGCCTTCACTCGGTCTCAGTCTTGACTCGGTCTCGGTCTCTGTCTTGACTCTGTCTCGCCCTCCCTTGGTCTCAGTCTTGACTCTGTCTCGGTCTTGCTCTCGACTTGTTCCCAGCCCTTAAAAGTCTTGGTCTCGTCTCGGTCTCCATAAACTCTCCTCTTGGTCTTGACTTGGTCTCGGTTTGGGCCGTCTTGACTGCATGGTGGTAGATCCCCAGTTTGGAGAAGCAGACGTTGTACTGTCAAGAAAGCAAAGCAACGTTCTGCAGACGACAGGGTCAGCTGCTAACATGTTTTAGCCACCTGAAAGAAGGCCCACTTAAAAAAAACAATATCAGTTCAAGTGTACACTATATTCAGAATATTTCCAGAGCTTTGCCTGCCATAGGCCATTTCACTAGGAACTACATATTCTCAACCGCAGAACTTCCGTATCCCTTCGCAGAAACTGCACTATATTCTGGTGATTGTTGGAAGAGCGGAGAGACTAACAAACGAGTTTAAATGAAGCGTGTTTCACAATGATCTGTAACGCCGCTCTGACAATGCCTCTGAACCTGGAGGTGGCAACGCCGATGATGATGGCGATTAAATCTTCCTCACAGACTTGTCTCATGTAAATCTGAGAAACCTCTCCACATCTGCATTTTTATTTTCCATTTAAAGCCAGGACTTCTGTCCGTATGATATCTTGGAATTACAGCCTAGGAAAGTGTTTAATTACTGTTTTTCTCAATGTAGTCCGGTGGGCTGTGGCAGCCATGTGGTTTGGTGAATGTAATGGGATATTAGTGGCAGTGAATGTCGCATACAGCTCCTTCAATAAGGTTTGGTTTTAGGAACAACATCATGGTTTGGGTTAAAATCACTGCTCCACTACGGTTAAGGAACCTTCGTCATCATAGTTACATAACAAACGATGGTGGTCAGAAGTTTTGTTGACCCTTCTATCTAACGACATCCTGCCAACAGACAAGACTCACAAGTACACCGGCAGCTAGAGGGCGCTGTCACATGAACTTAGGTCGCTTTTGCAGCAACAACTGATGCTTTCGTTTATCTTGGGAGGACAGTCGCTATAAAACAGGTACAATTTCATCTTCTCTGACGCTGGAGGGAATAGTTTTGTGAGAAAGATGACAAACAAAAGGGTAACAAACAAAACAAACGTACAGAACGAAGCCTATAATCATCCTGAAACCACCGGTGTCACTATAATGTAGATTATATTACAGTATTATTATTGTCCTGACAGGATTTAAGGGGATTGCCAAGAGTCAGCTGACTGAGATTTCAGATTTACTAAGAAATAGCTTTGTCTTTCACTAATTGTTGGATTTATTACATGACCTGCCTGTGGCCTGGTTTCTGTGTCTCAAATAAACTCACTTCCTCAGCAGTTTCACATTATTGTGCATTTCAGAGGGACATATTGTCTTTTAGAAGCAGTTTTTAAATTTAAAATGTCAAAATGTAATATATCATGAGATGAAATGTTCCAGGTTTAGATATTTACTTTCTGGTTCTTTATTAAAAACCTACTGAGATGTTGGAAAAAGTGATAAACACCAGAAAGTTGTGTTGTGTTGAAAGCTGTTTCCTCTGCAGGAGCTTCCTCTGACTTCTACCGTCACGGTGGGAGGTCATCCTGACACACTGAGGCCGATTGGTCAGGTGACCAGTGTTCCACTTCCTGTTTGGTGGACAAAGAAAACAGAGACTACAGTACAAAATAAAAGAACTAAGAACTGATTGTACTAAGACAGTAATGGATGGAGAGAATCTAAACTGCCTCCAAGTTCAAGTTTGTTTATTGTCATTCATCCACATATCAAGTATAAAAATTAATGAGCTGCTGTTTCTCACGGTCCACAGTGTGTAAACAAGATCTATTTCTGTAAAGCTTGCGTTTCAAACCGGAAACCTTCCAGACACCAATGCTTGTAGCTGCTACTTGTGTTGTAGTACTTAAGACCGGTCTCAGGATCACATACTGAAGGTCTCGGTCTGGTCTTTGATGGTCATGGTCTCAAACATAGAGGCGTGTCATGCCAACATGTTCTCACTTCCGACTCGTCACATATTGACGCTTGGTCAAGGCCCTTTGGCGTCGCGTTTTATCGCCCTAAGTACACCTTGAGCGTAATTTTTAGACGTTTAGGGCTCCGCGGTGTAGCAACAACAAATATGCAACATCCAGTTAGACTTGTTAGCGTTTCAAAACATCGCCATTTTGAAACGGCACGATATTAAAGTCGTGAAACGTTGCAGTTTGGTTGGGTTTAGGCACAAAAAGTACTTTGTTAAGGTTTGGAACAGATCATGGTTTGGGTTAAAATAACTACGTAGGTCAGTTAACTTACGTAACTCATGTAACTTAAATAAAAATATTTGTTGTTGACTTTTTGTTTCACACGGGACACAAACCCCGCTCTCCTGGTTCAAAGTCTGCGTTCTGTTAAATATCAAATACCCTCCTTTACCGTCAAAAACTGACGCTACAAGGCTAAAATTTACAGGCAACAATAGTCGGCTGGGCAGCAAGCTGATATTTTAAAGTGATCTTATCAACACATTCATGGAGATTTAAAAAGGAAAACAGAAATAGCTAAAGATAATCAGCCAGCAAAGCAAATTGCTTTCCCTAGAAATAACCATGTTGCAGCTGTTTCAAACCTGATGAACAGCAGATGAAATATATTATTATAGCTTATATATACATGAGTAGGTTTGTCATTTTGTTCTTTTCCTTTTTATGGGAGTAATTGTACTTTTTCTTGAGTAAAGATTTTGAGTACTCTCCCTGCCACTGGCCAGCAGCAGCAGTACTAGCGCTGACATGGTGAACATGAGACAGACAGCAGAGATGAGGTCAGTAGCAGAACAGAGTCAAAGCAGCAGTTTATGGTCAGATTGATGATGATATGGCTTATTTATTCATCTACTCAAGGGCTCAGCTGAAGTGATCACTTTACTTTAGGGCTGTTAGAGGGATGTTTCTAGTTTTGAAAATGTATTTTAATGGCTCATTTAGTGATGTACTCTACTTACATAAGGTCTCTAAAGACCCAGAGGGCCCGACACATGCTTTGTCTGGAGAGCAGGTTGACCGGGGACAAACTCCTGGGCCACTTTTTTGCCTCGGTCTGTGACCATCCTTGACCTTAAAAACATGTGCCAGGAGGTGTGCATGTGTCTCTGCTTCGTGTCCGTAAACAGTTTAAAAGCAGTCAAAATGTTCACACAGAGACGAGCATCCTGCAGGATTTAAGAGACTCAGGGCCAAGTGAGACACAGGAAATATCACAGACAGCTCACAAGTGTAACGTCAGGATAACTAAATACATTTGTACTGTGGCTACATTAACTAGCAGCTGCTCCCTGGTTTATATGGTAGTCGGTTTTGTTCTAGTTATATTATACTCCCTCTCTCTGACCCTCTTCCTCTCTGAGTTTTTTTAATCTCCCTCTCTCTGGTATACAACAAAGGTCTCTAGCCAACCCTAAATCTGTGCTCATAACATGGGAAGCGCCACCTTGACCTTTTTTTTTTTAAGTAAATATATCAGACTCCATATTACACACTATTTGCAGACCTTTAAATAGAACGCTAACATGCAGATTCAAATCTTATAAGCAGGCAACATTAAATTGTGAAACTTGCACACAATGGTATCAACTCCAGTGATTTTTCTAGAAATAAAAATGATGCTAAAACAGAAAATCATAAAAAAAAATATTTTTCACCTTGAGAATATACTTTCTTTTTTTTAAAGTTGTTTCTTATAGGCCTACAACTGCTGGCATGTGCAAAATAAATATTAAAAACTACAATTATTTTTCAGTTTTTAATTCAGGAATTCAGCGTGGACTTCACTTCCCGTGAGCCATTGCGTTGGGACGACTAAAAAGTATCCCGGAACAGGCTCCAGCTCAATCTCAGACCAAATATATTCATGTATGGTTAGTTTTATCATTCTGTAAGTTATGTCTGTGCTATTGGACTAATGTCCGTCCTCGTGGCTGTAATTGGAGCACGACACGTTATTAGCAACGTGTTTTATGCTGGCACACACAAGTGTTACTTTGTTTTTGTCCTCCTCCCTTCGTGTCCGACGCGGAACCAAAACTCATGAATCAAACATGTCTGTGCCTTGCAGCACCTTCAAACCTGTGAGCTATGTTGTTTTCGACATGGATGGATTATTATTAGGTCTTGAAACGTACTTTGTGTGTTATATCTTGTAGTTTTGCTCATTTCTTACGATTAGATTACGCCTACGCTAAACCCGATACAGAAACTAAGGTTAACAAATCGTGCTTTGTGTAACATTAATATAGATTTTATAACCTTATAATCTGTGTAAACTTGGCATATATCTGAATTAGCGATATGCGCTACAAATGTTACACATTCAACGTCCTGGTTGACGTAAATTAGGTTAGTTTACCCCCCAAATTACCGTAACAAACGCTTGCGACGCTCACCCACTTTTTAAAGTTTTACTGACAGAACTGCTTTATTAATCAAACATGTGTCTTATTAAAGCGATTTATAGACTGACCAGGTAAAGAGGGGTAACACTAAACTTACAATGCTTGATTGTAGGTGTCGCAACCACTAGAAATTAATTTCACTTAAGTTTTAACGATGTTAAACTTGATCTTAAAGCGCTGCCTGGGACTATTTTTATCTTTCTGTGCGATCATTTAATGTGTGTTAAACTTTGATCATTTAATTTTCAAACGTTAACTCTATCAAAAAGATGCTCAATAGTATGAGGCAATACATTTTATTTTGACTCACAATTTGCGGTCACAGCCAATGATCTTCTCTTTTCATTTTCTCGCTAAAATAGGTTTCATTAAATCTAATTAAAAGTTGTTAATTTTCTTTTTCTGTTTTCTGATTTTAGACACAGAGCGACTGTACACTGTGTCCTTCCAGGAAATATGTGACCGCTTTGGAAAACGGTACACATGGGACGTGAAGTCATCGGTGATGGGTAAAAAGGCTCTGGATGCTGCCCAAATTATTCGGGACACTCTAGAGCTTCCCATGACCGCTGAGGAACTCCTTGCTGAAAGCAGACAAATACAAGAAAGAATCTTTCCCTCTGCCAAACTCTTGCCAGGTATGCCTGATTTACCATGCAGTTTGATATTTAATGATAACTGTAAAAAGCCCCTTATTAAGTGTTTTTAAAGCACATGTTATTGCACTTTTGTGTATATAACAGTACATTTAAATTAAAAGTGCACAATACACTACTTTAGAAATCATTATTCAATTTCACATGTAACAATGTGATTAATCGCAAGAAAAGCGATTAATCGTGATTAAAAATTTTAATAAAATTTTTGCAACTGATTTGTTCTCAGCTCAAAAGCGGCCTATCATAATCTCTGGTTTGGGCTGCTGTACTCTTTATTCTACATGTGTAAGTGCTGCTCTTTCTGTTTGTGTACACGTGTTGAGCCACTGCATGCAGTTATGCAACTGTTGGGGCATGTATGCAATATTTTTTTCTGACATTCAGTACTACGGTTGCAATTATTTTCTGTTTAATCATTTATTCTGTAAAACGTCAAAAATAATGATCAATTAAAGCTGTCAGCAGCGCGTCGAGGTGTGAGGCAGCTGCGTTGCAGATTCTGGAGCTCAAGACTCAAGAACCCATATCCTAAACTCAACAGGAAGTCTTTTGAATTTTATGGTCATTTTTGGATGATTTACACACTCCGTACTTTAACACACTCCTCCAAGGGATTTAGTTGGATCGACGTCAAATTTGTGCTGTGCCTTCTAAAGGCATTGAAGATGAAAAGTTGTGCTATCTGTGAGTTTTCGTCAATGGGCGTGTCCGTGGCGTGGCGTCAAAGATCAACTCTTCGTAATGTTTACTCGGTACATAGTGATGTGTCCAGTGTCCATGTTCTTTTCACCTAACAGATAAGATGAGAAGAGTGAGACGTAAGAGTTCGTTCCTTGAGGTAGTTTTATTACAGGTTTAATAGGTTGTCATCCTTGTAGCCAAAGATTAAAGACTTCCCACAACTCATATCTGCTTCTGGTCACCATTGAAATTAGACGAATAAAAGCCTATGTGCCAATTGTTGTCTGGGAAGGCGCTCCATATCAACAGGGATCTTTGTGAAAACACATATCTTTTATACACTGCTCAAAAAAATAAAGGGAACACTTAAACAACACAATGTAACTCCAAGTCAGTCACACTCCTGTGAAATCAAACTGTCCACTTAGGAAGCAACACTGACTGACAATCAATTTCACATGCTGTTGTGCAAATGGAGGTGGAAATTATAGGCAATTAGCAAGACACCCCCAATAAAGGAGTGGTTCTGCAGGTGGTGACCACAGACCACTTCTCAGTTCCTTTGCTTCCTGGCTGATGTTTTGTGTCACTTTTGAATTCTGGCGGTGCTTTCACTCTAGTGGTAGCATGAGACAGAGTCTACAACCCACACAAGTGGCTCAGGTAGTGCAGCTCATCCAGGATGGCACATCAATGCGAGCTGTGAAGGTTTGCTGTGTCTGTCAGCGTAGCGTCCAGAGCATGGAGGCGCTACCAGGAGACAGGCCAGTATATCAGGAGACGTGGAGGAGGCCGTAGGAGGGCAACAACCCAGCAGCAGGACCGCTACCTCCGCCTTTGTGCAAGGAGGAGCAGGAGGAGCACTGCCAGAGCCCTGCAAAATGACCTCCAGCAGGCCACAAATGTGCATGTGTCTGCTCAAACGGTCAGAAACAGACTCCATGAGGGTGGTATGAGGGCCCGACGTCCACAGGTGGGGGTTGTGCTTACAGCCCAAACACCAGAGAACACCAAGATTGGCAAATTCGCCACTGGCGCCCTGTGCTCTTCACAGATGAAAGCAGGTTCACACTGAGCACATGTGACAGACGTGACAGAGTCTGGAGACGCCGTGGAGAACGTTCTGCTGCCTGCAACATCCTCCAGCATGACCGGTTTGGCGGTGGGTCAGTAATGGTGAGGGGTGGCGTTTCTTTGGGGGGCCGCACAGCCCTCCATGTGCTCGCCAGAAGTAGCCTGACTGCCATTAGGTACCGAGATGAGATCCTCAGACCCCTTGTGAGACCATATGCTGGTGCGGTTGGCCCTGGGTTCCTCCTAATGCAAGACAATGCTAGACCTCATGTGGCTGGAGTGTGTCAGCAGTTCCTGCAAGAGGAAGGCATTGATGCTATGGACCGGCCCGCCCGTTCCCCAGACCTGAATCCAATTGAGCACATCTGGGACATCATGTCTCGCTCCATCCACCAACGCCACGTTGCACCACAGACTGTCCAGGAGTTCGCGGATGCTTTAGTCCAGGTCAGGGAGGAGATCCCTCAGGAGACCATCCGCCACCTCATCAGGAGCCCAGGCGTTGTAGGGAGGTCATACAGGCACGTGGAGGCCACACACACTACTGAGCCTCATTTTGACTTGTTTTAAGGACATTACATCAAAGTTGGATCGGCCTGTAGTTTGGTTTTCCACTCCAAATCCAGACCTCCATGGGTTGATAAATTTGATTTCCATTGATAATTTTTGTGTGATTTTGTTGTCAGCACATTCAACTATGTAAAGAAAGGAGTATTTAATGAGATTATATCATTCATTCAGATCTAGGATGTGTTACTTTAGTGTTCCCTTTATTTTTTTGAGCAGTGTAGATACCTATTTTATAGATAGTCTAACCTTAAGTCTAATTTTTCAACATGTGTATCACCAGGTGTGGAGAAACTGGTCCACCATCTGCATAAACACAAAATCCCCATTGCAGTGGCAACCAGCTCAGCAAGTGTGACGTATAAGTTGAAAACAAGCCAACACAAAGACTTCTTCTGTCTGTTTGACCACATTGTTCTGGGTGATGATCCTGAGGTGAAGAATAGCAAACCTCTACCTGACTCCTTCCTGGTCTGTGCCAGCAGGTTCCACCCTCCAGCATCTCCGGAACAAGTAAGTATTACAGATTGCAGATCCACATTTTTAAGTCATGTTTGTTCATTTAAGAATAGGCTCTGATAGGTCAGCCCATTTTACTAGCGCGGTGACATTTAAATGGTGTACACATGTATTTAAAGTGGAAAGCTGAGATTTCAAAGGTAAGGTGAGAAAGTTCCTTGACCTATCAGTGCTGAGATTGTCTAGATGTCACCGATGGCTTCAGAGCGTTGTCTGCAGAGGGCCAGGCAGAATAGGGGAGTGAATTTCAACCAATGGGCAGCTGCTGAGCTACGGGGAGCTGTGAAGGAAAGAGCTGATTATGCTTTTACAACTACACCGTTCACACGTGGGAGAAGCTCAGAGTTGACGCTTTTATTCAATTTTCCAGAACCAGAAACACACAGTCAAGCCACTGTGTGTTTCTGGTTCCACTGTTGTTGATACTACTACTTGATATTTATATCAAAAAGGGACAAAACTGGACGTTGCTTGGAGAAAAGAAAGCGAGAAAGTTGAACTACCTGGTAAGTTCAGGTCTGTTACTTGATTCCAGCTGTCGTTGTACTTTACTGTGAACAAGTTAGCGTAGCATAGCCCCGATCGTTTCAAGCTCCAATCAGAAAACACACATTTTAAAAGTTATTGTTCTCTGTCCTGCTGGCAAACATGAATTCAAATCGGCATCATGTTGTAGTTATTTTGCCATCATTTTTATTCATTTAGTGCAATTAAATCACAATTAATTAACTCATCAATTCATACAGCTGGAGTAATTGTGGGTTGTGTTTATTCGCATTATCGCGTTGTGTGTGAACTCTCGGCAGTAGTCCAGCGAGAGAAGCAGTGCGAGGATTAAATTTGCATTTGGTCTGAACACAGTAAATGCCCCCTGCATCCTAATTAGGATAGGTTAAATGCAGAGAATAGCATGTGTTGTGCTGTTTATAAATAATTGTATGTGACAATAAAAGCTGAAGAATTGGTCCAGGCAGTTCAAATTGAAGTAAATATGCATCCACTCCAGTTGACTCTGTTATATCAGTTGGAATTACTGTTAAACTATTAAAAGCTAATAAACCATGTTGTGTTATGAGATTAAAACTCTAGCTGTCTCTTGCTCAGCAACACTCACTAGGCTACAGGACTAGTAAAAGAGAAGTAGATGGTGCATTTTATTCTGGTCAGAGAGCGTCTCAAAATCTGGGAGGTTACATTTAATTTTTGTAAAGAACTTTGTTCTGATTTCTACATTGCAGGAAATGATGCTTATGTCCAGCCCTAGACAAATGCTTTTGGTGCAAGAGAACCGGGTTCAATCCCCTGCTGTGACACATCCTCCAAAGTGTCCCTGAGCAAGACACTTAACCCCTCATTGCCACCTGCGACCTCTCACATATATATAGCAATTGTAAGTTGCTTTGGATAAAAGCGTCAGCTAAATGAGTAAATGTGATGTAATGCGCGTAGACAAACATACAGTTGACATAAATAAATGTAGAAATATATAAATATAGAATAAACAGATGCAGTTAATATAAGAATGATAAAAGAATAGAGACAGATAATACAACTATTTGCAGAGTACATTATTCCAGGTTTGTGTTGTGCAGACGTATTGCAACAGGAGAGGATATACTGTACATAAATATATATTTGACAAAATATAAAAATACAGAATAACAACGTTGTTTGTTGTTAATTAACAATTAACAACAAATATATGCAATTTGCCAGGTTTGTGCCGTTATGAAATGAAATAGTATTTACACGTGCAGAGACATTTGTATTATTTGCAAGGGGGGAGTGTCAGTGGGACCCGGGCCTTGTTAATGAGGCTGCAGACGGGAAGAAACTGTTTTTGTAGCGAGAGGTTTTGGTCCTGATGGACTGCAGCCTCCTGCCAGAGGGGACAGTCTGAAACAGTTTGTGTCCGGGGTGGGAGGAGTCAGCTGCAATATTTCTTGCTCGCCTCAGAGTCCTGGAGGCGTACAGGTCCTGAAGTGATGGAAGATTGCAGCCAATCAGCTTCTCTGCAGAGCGAATGATGCGCTGCAGCCTGCCCTTGTCCCTGGCAGTGGCAGCAGCGCACCAGATGGTGATGGAGGAGGTGAGGATGGAGGAGGTGATGGAGGTGTAGAAGTGCACCATCATTGTCTTTGGTAGGCTGAACTTCTTCAGCTGCCGCAGGAAGTACATCCTCTGCTGGGCCTTCTTGGTGAGGGAGGTGATGTTCAGCTCCCACTTGAAGTCCTGGGTGATGATGGTGCCCAGGAAGCAGAAGGAGTCCACAGTGGTGACTGGGGAGTCACACAGGATGATGGGGGAGGGTGGGGCTGGGCTCTTCCTGAAGTCCATGACCATCTCCACGGCCTTCAGAGTGTTGAGCTCCAGACTGTTCTGGCTGCACCAGGTCACCAGATGGTCGATCTCCCACCTGTAGGCGGACTCATCCCCACCAGAGATGAGCCCAATGAGGGTGGTGTCATCTGCAAACTTCAGGAGCTTGACAGACTGGTGACTGGAGGTGCAGCTGTTGGTGTACAGGGAGAAGAGAAGGGAGGAAAGAATGGAGCCTTGAGGGAATCCAGTGCTGATGGTCCTGGAGTCAGTTGTTTACCCAGCTTCACCTGCTGCTTCCGTGTGCGTCAGGAAGTCAGTGATCCACCTGCAGGTGGAGTCAGGCACGGTCAGCTGGGCTGTGATGTCATTGTCTCAACATATCAGAAGGCATGTGACAACCACGTCTCCCAAGCGGCACAATCATTAAGTGTTCTCTCCAATCCTACTGCTGTTCATGCATGTGGTGCTCACTTAGGTCATATTGAGGAGGTAGAGCAGAGAGGAGGTATTCAAATTGTAGAATAAAAGGATATTCCACGTGGCAGAGATGAACAGTTCTTATCTGCAGATTATGTTGAAAATGGAATTGGTGCTCCTGTTTCCCGTTTTCTTGTGTTTGCTTTTGGTTTGCAGTTTACAAGAGTGACATTCTTGCACACCTAAAAGGCTTATAGGATAATACCACTTTGTTTTCCTCTCATCTGTCCTTTCTTAGTGTTTGGTGTTTGAAGACGCTCCTAATGGTGTGAAGGCAGCTTTGGCTGCGGGGATGCAGGTTGTGATGATTCCTGACGACAACCTGGACCCCGGCCTTACCCAGGAGGCCACGATGCGACTTAGGAGCATGGACGAATTTGTGCCGCAGCTCTTTGGCCTGCCGGCTTTCAACTGACACAAAAACCACACCGTGTAATTCAGTCTTTGTGATAGAGTGATGTTAAAGTTTGTTTTCCTGCATGTCACCGTGTTGTGAATATTTGTTTTTCTGTTGTGAATATTTGTTTTTCTGTCAGATGAGGCATCACATCATTGGAAAAATCTTTAAAGCTTTTTCATTACACCTTTTAAAAATCTTTCTTGATGTGTCACTCATTTTTCAATGTACAGAATACATGTAGATAGTCAAGGTTTTCTGATATTTGTATTTGTCTTTACGACCACTCAAAGTGCATACAAGAGCGCCAGGTCTCCTCTGTGGTACAGAGACGGGCGCTTATCACAGAGATGAATGAGCTGGGCAGATATAAACATTTAGAAAATCAGGCAAATACCTTTTCAGTTAAAGGCTTTATTGTTCTACTGAAACAACTGAAATCCAGTGAGCGCTCACCGTGGGACTGGTGGCCTGTTGGAAAGCAGCCTGCGTCGCTCTTTAACAAACTGGCTGCCTGTGCTGCTGCAAAGCAAGAGGTTTGATTGGCTGCATGTCCATAACAAAATTTACAGGCAACAAAAGTCGGCTGGGCAGCAAGCTGATATTTTAAAGTGATCTTATCAACAAATTCATGGAGATTTAAAAAGGAAAATAATTATTGAACAGAAATAGCTAAAGATAATCAGCCAGCAAAGCAAATTGCTTTCCCTAGAAATAACCATGTTGCAGCTGTTTCAAACCTGATGAACAGCAGATGAAATATATTATTATAGCTTATATATACATGAGTAGGTTTGTCATTTTGTTCTTTTCCTTTTTATGGGAGTAATTGTACTTTTTCTTGAGTAAAGATTTTGAGTACTCTCCCTGCCACTGGCCAGCAGCAGCAGTACTAGCGCTGACATGGTGAACATGAGACAGACAGCAGAGATGAGGTCAGTAGCAGAACAGAGTCAAAGCAGCAGTTTATGGTCAGATTGATGATGATATGGCTTATTTATTCATCTACTCAAGGGCTCAGCTGAAGTGATCACTTTACTTTAGGGCTGTTAGAGGGATGTTTCTAGTTTTGAAAATATATTTTAATGGCTCATTTAGTGATGTACTCTACTTACATAAGGTCTCTAAAGACCCAGAGGGCCCGACACATGCTTTGTCTGGAGAGCAGGTTGACCGGGGACAAACTCCTGGGCCACTTTTTTGCCTCGGTCTGTGACCATCCTTGACCTTAAAAACATGTGCCAGGAGGTGTGCATGTGTCTCTGCTTCGTGTCCGTAAACAGTTTAAAAGCAGTCAAAATGTTCACACAGAGACGAGCATCCTGCAGGATTTAAGAGGTCAGAGGTCACAGGAGCAGGAGTAGAACAAACTGAGGAGGACGAGCTTGTAAGTTGATAGCTAGTAGATGTAATATATTATAAAACTCACATGGTAAAAAGACTTTGTTAGCGGCATGTCATCAGAGTTTGCATTGAAGACGGTTCTGTGTTCACAAACGTGTTGCAGGGAGACTCAGGGCCAAGTGAGACAGGAAATATCACAGACAGCTCACGAGTGTAACGTCAGGATAACTAAATACATTTGTACTGTGGCTACATTAACTAGCAGCTGCTCCATGGTTTATATGGTAGTCGGTTTTGTTCTAGTTATATTATACTCCCTCTCCAAGTTTTCATAATTTCCACCCTCTCCAGTCTATTCTCCATCTTCTGTCACCACAAAGACCCTCTTTTAGGCACACTAATAAGTACAATCTGTAGAATTTATTGTCATGTTCAGGCCAAACTGAAAGCCAGGCGAAATATTACCCTTCAGAGTCAGCTGGTTGCTGCCAAGTTAGCTTTTCACTTCATTTCAAGAACTCTAGGCAAAGCAAAGCAGCACTAAGTCTAATTTTTCCACTACTGTCCTTTTTGTCGATGCCCCCTTTAGGTTCGGGACCTTATATCAAGCAGAAACAAAGCTCAAGTTTGGTGTCAGCTCCCAAAACCTATTTCCTCTGTTAAGGAACAAAAAGTCTCCAAATCCACCCAGTTATTTTGGCACGTAAACAACAATCAACCCAGCGGTAAAAGTTTCCTTCTATAACATCATGTCTCTCCTCTGCTGCAACATTTAATCAGTCACCAGACGACATGATGAAATATAAGCTGTGGTTTGTCTTTATTTTCTGGGCGGAGAGCCAGTGATCTTTAAACCAACGTCTTGAGGTTTCAGGCTGATTCGTCTCACCTCCGACGGGCTGTAATCCGTCTGACTCATCAGGACTGACTGAGGGTTATTATGGTCTGTCAGCCGATCTGCTCTCGTCTCTCAGTGTGCAGGACGAGACGGGAAAAATCAAAAACAGCAGGACAGAAATATGGAAAAGACGAATAGAAGCAAGGATATCACTGGAGAGAAATGACAAGTATCTGGAAAATAACATATGTTGTTTTCCAGAGATAACCAGATAACTTTCTCGAGATCCTGAGATGATTAAACTTTTTTTCCCCCCAAGATAAAGATATAATTAATTATAATTACACACATGATGATGGTCAGTGTAAAATATTCATTTCAAAGTCAAGAAAGTCGCAGTTTGATGTAAAGCTGTTGAGCAAGGATCACGCAATTTTGGCGATATGGGGGTGCTCAACGTCTGGTTTTACACAGAAATACCAGTTTTCTCCCAAGAAGTTTATATACAGCCTGTTATAATACACATTTCACCATTTAATGCTGTAAATAAACATGTGAAAAGAAAGAAACTTTCAATAAATGTTTTTAAAGTGCGTGAATAAATCCAAATTTGAAAAATGTGTGCGGTGGCAGAAGAGACGGAGCTCCAGCTTCACTGGTGTTGTGCCGAGTTGTCCACACCTCCACCACCAATTTATCACCGCTGATGAAGCACACAAAGAATATTTTATCGTTTTTAAGCAGCCGGCTGCTTGATATAGACCCGCGAGGAACCGCGACGTGTACGCAGCAGTCGGCAGCACGTCATGCACGCAAAACTCTGCACAAGACCGGTGAATGGCAGAGAGACAGAGACAGAGAGAGAGAGAGAGAGAGAAAGGGGTCTTCAAAAAGCCTCAGTTTAGCTGGAAATTTACAGTGAAAAGGAAACGAAAAGGACAGAGATGAAGAAGGTCATGATCAGAAATCAGAAGAAATTCTTCATTGATCCCCGGGAGGCTAAATTCGTAAAGATGTATATGTATAGAAAATGTCAGGAAAGCAACAGGAAGAAAACTTGACATTAAAGGAAAAGAAAGGACACAAAGAAATGAAAGGACATTGGCAAGAATGAGAAGACAGGAAACACGGATGGGACATTATGGAAAACATAAGCGTAGAAAAGATGGAGAGGACGAGGATGATGGGACTTTAAATGTGAGAGAACGGAGTATTAGAGAAGGTCCGATTTCTGGCCCACTCATCCAAATCACTTGACTTTTCTGTTATTCATATATCCTAAACCTGCTTTTAGCGTTCCTAAATGACAACACAGGGCTTCCCCCCAGTGCGTTGACTGGCTCTAAAGTGATCTCTGTCTCATATCATGTTTGACCTGTGAAATGTTTAATACGAGCTGTGTCAACTCGTCTCGGAGACAGAAGAGGAAGTGAGAGGTCACGCTGCTCCTCACGCAGAAAACACTCCGACATGTTGCTGCTGCATCAACAACATTTTCACCGAGTCATCCTGTGAACTAAATAAATTATCATTAGTCGGAGTTTGTTTAACATTCACCTTCACCAAGCATTTCCTAAAACAAAGAAGAAGAATACAAAATCACGGTGTTCATTTGACATGTACAAACAGTTTGCAATCATCAGGCAAAAGTCATTTCTGTGATAAAATAAGTTCAAAGGGAATGAAATATCTCATCAGCTCTGAGATGGATTCTCATGAGAGTTGGTTCAGACGTCCATAATAACTTATTGTGCGTTCACGTGCTGCTCGGATGGTCCCATTTCCTGAGTTGTGACGTTGTTCTTCTGACTTCGGTGTTGTTGTGCTTGTGGAAACCACTTGGACGCTACCACCAGTGTTGGGCTGTAACACGTCTCTGTAATAATATTACTTTTCCCAGTAGGATTACTTTTCTACAACAGTAACATTATAACAGTTACTAATGCAAGTAATGCTGCGTTACTGCGTTACTGAACGCACCATCCTTAAATGCGCGGCTGTGCAGCAGCCCGCACTTTGTTGTTCAAGTCCGCTGTTAGCCAGAAGCTAAAGGAAGAACGGAGACCGAGGGAGAGAGGCGTTCTTTCCACAGCTGTAAGAGGCTACTGCCGTTATTGTGTCACAGTCTAAGATGCAAAGAACATTGTCGTCTATTGTAAACTCTTTGTAAGCTTTTCAACATTTTTACATCTGATTTATTTAAGCATCTGATGAAGCGGCACAGCGACGTGAAACTTACAGAAAGAAACTCCTGCAGCTGCTGCCACTGATGCTTGGACTCGTCGGGAGGGAGTGGCGTTAACGTAACGTTTTGAAAAAATACTGAAAAATACTGTGCAGAAAAACAATAGTTCAAAAGTTACTTTTCTCACCCAGTAATAAGTAATAAGGGATTACAATTTCTGAGTACCTTGCCCAACACTGACTGCTACAAGGATGTGCTGGATTGTCGTTGTCATCCAAGTGTGCTAAAACAGTTTGAAGCTTTCTATTACAAAAGGATTTTTGTCCCAGAGTTGTTTCTGCACCAGTAACCACTAAAATATTGTTTGTACTTAAGTAAGACGTCAATAACTCGGCAGCTCGTGCACCAAAGTTTTCTCAGACTCTCCGAGTTGTTGTTCCGTCTTCGGGGAGCGACACGTGAATTTTCAGGAAATAATTTTTCCCAATTATTCCGACATCACATGAATGCACAGTTATAATAACCCTCTGATTTTCCATGTAGCGCCATCATCAGGCCAAAATGTGTCCAACACTTTATTTATACTTCGGTTTATGACCGAATTCCTGCAAACATCAGCCACTTTGTGTTAAACATTGAATTTCTCCTTGTGGGATTAATAAATGTCTTCTTGTTCTTCTTCTTAGTGCTAATAAGCAAATGCTAACATACTAAAATCAGATGGTTAACCTGGTAAACATTACTCGTGTTAGCATTGTCATTGTGAGCTGGTTAGCATGCAGACGCTAGCATTTAGCTCAAAGCTGCTTCAAACAGATGTCAAGACATTTCAG